GCTGTAGGCAGGTCGCCTCTGACCACAGTACTGGGGGTGCTTTCCATGCTCTCTTATCTGGAAGCACTTACTAAACTGCCAGCACTTTCTTTAATCACAATGAATGATACAGAGGAGGAGAAGGGGGCAAGGCCTACCTCTTCTGGGTGGGAAACTAGGAAATCTGTGTAAGAGGCACAATAAGGGGAGGTCTCAGGCGGAGGTGCCCTTGTGCACGCAGGGCCACACCTTGGCAGGTACCTGGGTTGTTCCGGATGGCTTCCTTCAGCTCCTTCTTCTCCTGTCGCAAAGCCATGAGTTCTGTCCGAATCATCTCCTTCTCCTTCTCCAGCCTCTCTTTTTCTACCAGGTACCTGCGGGCATCCTCCTCAGCCCGGTTCTTGCCGTACTTGTATTGATTGGCACCTACAGGGATACAGGACAGCAAGAGGTCCTCAGGTCTGACCTCTGGTGAGGTCCACATGGGGTGTTAGCTTGCCTCTCACCTCAACTTCATCTGCAACACAGGGATGTTTAGGTCCACTTATTTAAGTGTAGTGTAGTTAGCATGAATCTGCCAAGGAACAGAAGGAACAGGGAGGCTACACAGCACAGGAACTTGGACCCAGGCAGATCAGGGTTTGCATTCTCTCTTTACTGGGTGTGTGACGTCACATCAAAAGGACTGGTGTGCTTTTGTGCCTTTCCTCAAAGCCTCAGTGTCCTTATGCACAAATAAAGATACTGCTAACTAACAGCTTCCAGCACGCAGAGGTTTAAATGCCATAATCAAGGAAAAGTACTTAATATAGTACCTGGCAAGTGATGAGTGCTTAGTAAACGTTAGGAAATAATGATAGTAGTATCCTATAATCAAGCAAAATTTGTGATGTATAGATAACCCATTTTTGCTTTGTAGAAAAATGTGCTTTGAATGAGTCAAGTCTCAGGTATTTATGATAAAGGAAGATACCTCCATATGACTCAGATCAGACCCAGGCCAGTGTAAGGCCCTGCTAATTGTATTGCTGGGGAAGGGTGGGGAGAGAGAAAGCCCCGAGAGTGTACTGTTGGTCCAACACAATGGCAAGCAGCAAGTACCCAGAACCATGTTGCTCACTCAGTGTAGGCTACGCTCAGCCACTTGCTTGAATTCCCATTTAACCGTCCTCTGTTTTATTATTCATTGTGTAACGTATTTGGTTCTACTTACTATTAGCTGTTTGTTTACGACTCTGTTTTTACTGCCGAGGAAGCCAGGCATAGAAAAGTTAGGTCCCACTGTTTATGGCTCTAGAGACAAGTTGAACATGTGTCTGTCTTACTCTAGGTGATGAGGTCACAAGCACAGAATCTTTGCATGTGGCATCGGTGGTCTCAGAAGAGAGCCATCTGTACAACAGGGGATGGATGGCCCAGACACCACGCCTGCCAACTTGGACTCCGGCTTCCGAAGCTAGGAGAAACGAGCTGTTGTTTTGAAAAAGGTCATCTAGCTTAGGACATTTTGTTACAGCACACTGAGGACCGGGGCAGCTTTCCTCCTGTGTGCCTCAGGATGTCACTGGACTACAACATGTGGCTTCTAATCTTTCCAGGAAACCTGTGACTTACAGGCCCGGGGATGGGGAGGCCAATGGGCCTCAGCTGGACCAGTCCTATTTTCACAGCTCTTACAATCTGGGTTCTTGTGAGAGATTTGATTTTAAAAAACAGGTCTAGGTATTTACTTTTTGTTGTTGTTGATATTTTGTGATTTCTTTACTCTGATATGTTGAATTCAGTTTTCTACTTTGCTTATCCATTGATTTTTATTTTATTTTATTTTTCAAGATAAAGTTTCATTATCGAGCTCTGGCTGTCCTGGAACTCACTATGCAGACCAGGTTGACCTCAGACTCACAGAGATCTGCCTGCTTCTGCCTCTGGCATGCTGGGATTCAAGGTGTGTGCCACTGTGCCCGGTGAATTTATTTTCTCATGACAGGGTCTCACTGTGCAGCACTGGCTGGCCTTTTTATTCTTGCAGACAAGGCTGGCCTGCAGCTTGGAGTGATTCTCCTGTCTTCGTTTCTTGAGCGCTGGGAGTGCAGCGTGTCAATTACATGAAGAACGGTCTTCCATTTTAAAACAGGCCTTTTCAAAGCCTTGTATTTCCAGTGCCTAAGCATGAAGCGTCGCAAGAACACTGCACATCCCTCCCTCGTTCTGAGGGAGCCAGGCAGGAGAAAGGACTTGTTCAAAGTTACATAGCAGTGTCGCAGTCAAGCAAGAATGAGGACAGATCTCCTGAGTCTCAGGAGCAATGACTTATACTAATGCAACGGAAGGAGGGAACAGAAAAGTGTTTCTGTTTGTTTTTCTTTCCCTGAGACAAGGTTTTCTCTATATAACAGTCCTGGCTATCCTGGACCTCGCTCTGTAGCCCAGGCTGGCCTCAAACTCACAGAGATCCACCTGCCTCTGTCTCCTGGGTGCTGGGATTAAAGGCGTGCACCACCATCACCACCACCACCACCACCACCACCACCCAGCCAGAATTTTTTTTTTCTTTTTAAAGATGTCTTCAAAAAGCAGAGACTAGACTGTCCAGGTGCAGGGGAAAGGCACCTTAAGAAGCAGCACATTGTCCTGCAGGAAGCTGGCTTGCTCTCGATGGCCTCAATGAGTCCCCTGTGTGCCCTGGAGAGCACAGACGGGGACCTAGAAGTGAGCTGTGGATCTTGTGGCACCCCTGCTCAGGGACTGCGGAGGGACTGGTTATCTGCTTACTACCCTAGATCAGAGATCACAAACTCTGGTCCTTTGGAAAAGACAGGCTTAGAGATGAGCTCTCTGTATACACACTTGCATGCATGCATGTGCGCGCACATGTACACACACACCACTGTATATGCTTATATACCTTTAAACACTCAACTATTTTACAGATCATACACATGCAGTATAGAAACACTTAAATTAGCAGCTAATATTAAGAATTCACATGCCGGGTGGTGGTGACACACACCCTTAATCCCATCACCCAGGAGGCAGAGGCAGGTGGATCTCTGAGTTCGAGGCTAACCTGGTCTACAGAGTGAGATCCAGAACAGCCAGGGCTACACAGGGAAACCCTGTCTCAAAAATAAAAAAGAATTCACATGAACTTTCACTTTTGGCCTTTTGAATAATCAGTAAAAGCTGAGTGAGGTCTCCTGGGTAAGCCAAGTAGGTTCTACCTCTGGAGTTAGGACCTAAGCACTCTGGTCTCTCTGCAAACCTCCCTCCGCTATTCACTTCTCTCTGCCCTGACCACCCTTGCGTTGTTACTTTCTTCTTGTTTCTCTTGCTGTGCTGGGGACCGGGACCTTAGGTCTCACCATACCCGGCAGGTACGCCCAGCCCCCACTACTTTCCTTCGGGTAGAGTATTTCCTGATGGCCTGCTTCTCCTCATTTTACTCCCTTACCCCCGGGGAAATCTTGTATTGAGAGCCCTGCAATGTTCTACTCTACCTCCCTTAAGAGACCACGTGACTCACTGGAGGCATGGCGCTTGACTTTGACTTGTGGGTCCACACGATGGGACTTCTCACTGCAGGAGGAGGCGTGACGCTTCACCTGAGCCCCGGTGGGACGCTGGGGCTCCTCATCCTGGGCAAGGGGGACAGAGGCAGAAGGTTATAATGCAGGCAGGGTTCAACCCATCCAGACAGGGAGCTTCTGACCAGCGCTTTTGAGATCTTGGCCGTACATATACAGACTTGTGCAGCATCCTACAGTTTACAGACTACCTTCGCTAGCCTCCGACCCTCATACCTGTCTGTGGGAGGGAGAAGGCAACCATAGGCTGGAGCACTTACTGAGAGGACAAATGAGGGGGCTAGGAAACTGGGTGACCGTCTTTATTACAGGCATTTTGTCCTCGTATCATTTGAAAGCATTCTTCTGTTTTCTGAGTCGCTAACACAGCCTTCCCTCAGAAGAGGAGGAAAGGAAGGGACGAGATGGCATGGAAGGGAGGTGCCAAGGACAGACGGAAGTGACACAATGTGAACTGGCTGCATATTCGTGCTTGAAGGGTATTTCCCAGGGCTGGAGAGATGGCTCAGAGGTTAAGAGCACTGGCTGCTCTCCCAAAGGTCCTGAGTTCAAGTCCCAGCAACCACATGGCGGCTCACAACCATCTGTAATGGGATCTGAAGCGCTCTCTGGCATGCATGCAGACAGAGCACTCATACCTAAAAATACATAAATGAATAAAATTAAAATCTCTATTCCATCTTCCCCTCAAAAAAATGAGTTCCAGGAAAGGCGCAAAGCTACACAGAGAAACCCTAAAAAAAAAAAAAAAAAAAAAAAAGAGTATTTCCCATGCTGCAAATCCAGTCAAGGTCTTGGAGGTCTGGTGTGATACATCACTGTCATTTAATCGTCTTACTAGGTTATTACTTACTGTAATTTCTCTGAACAGAACGTCCCACCACCTGGACACTGTGCTAATATCTTTCTTTCTTTCTAACATGAGTCATTTCATTTTGTTCTCCAAACACTCCTGAGAAGGACCCACACACCCACGTGGAGGTGGGAAGTGGGAAGCAGGGGGTCTGAAAAGCTGCGGTCCTTCTAACTCTAGTCTTCAAATCTGAAATGCCAGTTTTTGGTTTTGTTTGTTTTTTTTTGAGACAGGGTCTCCCTGTGTAACTCTGGCTGTCCTGGAACTCACTCTGTAGACTAGGCTGGCCTCGAACTCAGAGATCCGCCTGCCTCTGCCTCTCAAGTGCTGGGATTAAAGGCAGGTGCCACCACTGCCCGGCTCTATCTGAAGTGCTAAGCCACTCAGCTACTATTGTCTCTGCAACTGAGCAAAACCTTCAAGTTGCATTCAAGAAAGACCTTGGCAACCAAAGGGGGCAGGCTGGGGATGTTTCTAGGAAAGGGGGATCATGGAAGTGAGAACTCAGAGTATCGTCTAGTCCAGGCAGGGTCCTGGCTCACAGACGTGCCGTGCCCTCAGCAGCTTTATTCCCTCTCCTCTAGATGCAAGGCCACCTGCTCGTATCTGGTTGCAATGGACCTGGCTTCTGGTCCTTCCCCAGGAGAAGGCACGGGGCATGCCGCTGAGAGCAGACAGGTTGAGTGAAGACATGGAGGACCGCCTTCGGCATGTTACTAAACAGTGTGAACAGACCGTACCTGCACCTTCTCATAAGGAACCTCATCGTAGACACGGGGCTCCGGCCACTGATCCTGGCAGGATCGTGCATACCTAGAACATGAAAGGTACAATGATATTGGTGACACCTCGTGGCTTACGTTGCCTTCCCGTCTTCTCTCATTTGATGTTGGCAGCATTTTTTTTTTAAATTTTCACTCATTTTATTTATTTTTATGTGCACTGCTGCCCGCATGCATGTCTGTGTGAGGGTGTCAGATCCCCTAGAACTGGAGTTACAGGCAGGTGTGAGCTGCCATGTGGGTACTGGGAATTGAACCCGGGGCTCGTGCTCTTACCACTGAGCCACCTCTCCAGCCCTGGCATCAGTTTTTATGTATATAGAAAGGTCATGTGCTTGTGAGAACTGTATAGGCTTGTGTGAGTCTCGCAACCTTGACAACAGGTGGCTCATTCCCATCACCCTTTGCAAGTCAGAAGACAGACCTCAGGATGGCAAGCAGCAGGTCATGCTTCCCCCCACACTGGTGAAGAGCATGCCATCCTTCCCAAGGAAGCAGTCTTCCTGAGCTTGCCCCTCCCCTCCACCCGGTGCTCAAGACTGCGCAGCAGAGCCTGGAAATGGAGGCAGGACTCACCCTCCCCACCCTACCCCACCCCGCCCCCCACGCCCCGGCGGAAGTGGACCACGGAAACACCCTTACAGGAAGGAGTTGCGTCCAGCACTGACAATGCTGGTTAGGGTCTCCACGTCCACATAGTCATAGTGCAGGGCCTCCGGGGTGACTGTGGAGCCCATCTCCACCAGCAGCAGCCCAAGCCAGCGGCCCATGTCCTCTGAACAGCTTGCCTGGGGAGAGGAGGCACAGTGGAGTTCACTTTCACACCGTGAAGCCTTCTGGCTCACGTCAGAGAAACCCAAAAATGTCTCTAAGTACTCAGTACTTAGTGATGGAGGAAGAATTAAGACTAGACGCACATGCAGAAACCTAAGGCTCCTGAATTCTCTCCAGTATCTGCTCAAAAAACTGCTTCCTCCATTGAGTCCTCCAGGATTACTTTTGTAAGATGGCACAGCCCTATGCTCCACCCTCTGGTCTTTTACATCTGACCATTTGGGTAAAAACAGCATTTAGGTGTTCTCAAAACTTCTTCCTTCCCTCTTTTTCTTCCACACTGGGATCAAACCCAAGGCGCCTTGTGCATTTAAGGCCTGGCTTTACTAGTGAGCCACACCCCCAGCCTGAAAGCATAACATTGTTTTCAAGTTATTTTTATGTTGAGTATATGACTGATTGTTTTGCCTGCATGTATGTCTGTGTGCTGCATTAATGCCTGGTGTCTGCAGAAGCCAGAAGAGGGCATCTAATCCCCTGGAACTGGAGTTAAAGATGGTTGTGAATCACCTTGTGGGTGCTGGGAATCACGACAGGGTTCTCCGTCTAAGCAAACATGCTTTTAACTCTGAGCCATCCCTCCAAGCCTCCATACTTATAATTAATTCTCTAAATAGGAAATTGCTCATATATCTCAATTTTTTTTAAACTGTAGTTCCCAAAGCATTATAGTACTACTTATAGGAAAATTCCCCAGAACAAACTGCTGGCTAGTTAAACATATCCTTAATTCTGATTTAAAGAACATTATCACAAAATCAGTTAGCTAGTAGTGGCAAACTTAAATTTTAAAGGGGGAAAAAAAAACCCTGGAAACTGTGTGCATTAAGGAAAATAAGAGATTCAACAGGAAGATGCAGAGGTAATAGTTGAAACTGAGAAACAGAGGCAGATGGAGAGGTTCCCAGCACTCTGGAGCCTTGAAAAAAGCACATGGCTGCCCTGGCCTCTGTTTGTCTATAACGCGAGGAGGTGGACATTTGAATTTTCTTCCTGTGTCAACATTCTGAGTTCTAGACGCCCAAAGGGCTGTCACATGGAGGGTTGTCTGTGTGCTCTGGACACCCTCCCAGAGGAGGGCGGTGCCCGCAGGTAGGAAGGGCCGGGAGCGGGCGCCACTCACGCGTTGTTCAACATGAGCTTGCTGAGCTCAGGGTGTGTGCTGGACGCTGCTGCTGCAGGGATCTAGAAAAGTAAATATTGTACGAAAATATGGCCGTGGCCCTGCCAGTAGGGAGCTGGAAGGATTTTAACTCAAAGTGGGGAAACTCTTTGTAGAGACAAGAGTTGCTCAGCGGGAGGGACAGGCAACCTGGAGGGCCGTGGTTTTCTGAGGTCGATGGTTCCTGCTGGGAAGGTCTGAGAGAGAACTCCAGAATCAGATCCCAGTCAGACCACAGGAGATGCCTGTTGGACCTGGACCTTTAAGGTCAGGGCAAATAAGCAAACCTGGGTTCTAGAATGAGGGCGGCCAGAATTAGGGTATAAAAACACAGAGTGCTCTGTTAGGTTTGAACTTTAGATAAACAACACATAACTTCAGGGCAGGTGTGTCTCCAAATTGTCTGGGATACTTTCATATTAAAAACATGATTCCTTGTTTATCTGGAATCCCAGCATACCTGGTGTCCCCTGTGTTACCCTGACAAGCACCTTGGGTTCTTCCTCCAAAGTTCCTAAGGTAGGGTAGCAACAAGACCACCCCCCCCCACCCCCGGGCTACCTGGACTCTCTCCTCTCACCTCCAGGATGGCCACCTCCTGCCGATTGCGCAGGATCCTGAAAGCAAACGGGTGCCTGGGCCCGAAGCCTGGGGCTACCTCACAGCCCCCGAGGGCAATGGCGTTCACGTGGGTGTGCAGGTCTGTGCGGTCTTTGTGGAAATACAGAGTGTTGCACTTGAGGCGGCACCACCGTTCCTTCCAGCCTTGGTTTACCAGCACATTGAGGTAGCCTGGAACAAAGAGGCAGCGGGATGACCTCTTTAGAGCTCCTCGGGGCAAAGGCTCTGAGGGATATCCACACAAGCCTTGGGATCTAGCGGGCAGGAAGGAAGGCCCGGCACCTTGGGCATCCTCTTCTTTGAGTCTCAGCTGCCCGACTGTGAGTGCTCACTGACAATGCCATTCACGCATCCTCTTACAGCCCGGGGACCACACCAAGTGGGATGGAAATGGCCGGCGAGAATACTACAGAAGATGTACAAAAGCTACACCTGCCGTTTCCATTCCCCATTAACGACGCTGACTTTGTTACCGAAGGACAGAAAATGATGGCCAATGCTGGCACCTAGCGGCAGCATGGAGAAACGCCACCGTCTAGCCATGGTAAGGATTTATAAACCTAAGCAGACCGCTTGGCTGTGCAACTGACCACAGATGGAGTGAGAATCTCCTCTGAGCATTTTAGATTTTTATTTATTATGTATTTTTTCTTTACCACAGCATTCTATGATTCAATGGTCATAAAATATTTCTTTATAATCACACCTTTTATTAATAATTAATTAATTTTGTTTTTCGAGGCAGAGTTTCTCTGTGTAGTTCTTGCTGTACCGGGAACTCGCCCTGTAGACCAGGCTGGCCTTAAACTCAGAGATCTGCCTGCCTCTGCCTCCCAAGTGCTGAGATTAAAGGCGTGTGCCACCACCGCCATGTAAACTAATATATTTCTGCATATCCGAAATAGATGATTTTATTTTTTTGATATGTTGGATATGGAACCTGGGACCTCACACAGCTTGGCAAATGTTCTGTCATTGAGACACACTCCATCTCCTTTAAAACAGGTGATTATCTACTGGATTATAGTACACGGACCACAGTACTTGTAGGAAAAAAGTGATGCCTTCTCCGCCAGACGCTTTTTACTAACATGTATTTATCTTGAAAAGTACTTAATATTTTTTTAATCCCAATTTCCTTATCAGACTAGGCTGTAATCTACATACAGTTACATTTATATGTATATAAACCAGAATCCACTGCCCTTCAAGGTGCCTGACCCTGCTGGAAAGCAACTCCAGTCTCTATAAAGAGTTTCCCCATACTGAGTTAAAATGCTTCCAACTCCGTAAGGGCAGCAGCCATATTTTTGGGTAGTTTATTTTTTTTTTCTATAGCTTATAAAGGCCAGGATATAAGCTCCACATACATATGCATTATATACATATAAATGAAACCTATCTACTTTTGTTGTTTGTGTTTGTTTTTGAGACAGAGGAACCAGGACTCTGAGTCAGGACTTACCACAGCATGGAACCTCATTCTCACTGGGAAACGTCTGCAGGTCCTCGGCCAGCGCCTTCTTCTTGGAGAAACTGATGATGCGCGTGATCTTTCGGCCCGCAGCCCTGCTCATGGAGCCCTTTAGCTCAGCGAGGCTATTCTTCTTCCCTTTGCCTGGTGGTACAGGAGTGGATCACAGGGGATAGGGAAGGAGGCCATGGTCCCACCCATCTCTGGCCTTCCCAGCAGCCCCTGCAACCCGCGCACAGGGACCAGCCTGTAATTCCGGATACAAAAGGCCCGGTGGCCTTGCTCAGGTCCCCAGGCTCTACCACGGTGTGCCTGTGGCAAAGTCCCTCCCGTCTCTGACTAGTGGAAGCTCCTACCATGTTCACAGGCTTCTCGGCGGCCGAGGGTGGAGCTGTTGTCGTTCACGCCCAGGCTGTCAGAGTCTGAGTTCTGTTTCTCCTGGGACGATCTCTGGGGAAGGACATAGACAGCCTCACGTCAGCGGGACTCTCAGAAGGACTGCCTCCTTCACCCAGTCTTCTTCCAGTCCTCCAAGCAACAGCTTTCAGGTACCTGATACCACACCAATATGATCAGGGAGGTAGCAGTGACTGACACATGGTCACGCCTTCAGGTTACACTCTCCTGGGAGAGTGGGGCCATTAATTATGTCCTGGAATATGCACTGTATGGCGAGTGATAGGGAGCAGGGCAAGCATTTAAGGAGGGTGTGAATGTAATCCAGTAGCACTGTAGGGGTGGACAAGAGGGGGTGACCCTGGATGCTAAAGAGCCCCCGGGCAAGCTGATCAGGATGAAGTTCCAGAAAGGGATGAACCAAGGTGACAGCATTCAGGCATAGGGGGATGCTAAAACATGTTTTCAAAGGAGTCATGATAAGACCTGATGATCAGTAGACACCCGCTAAAATTCTACCTTGAATGAGAGGATGAAGGAACACACACACACACACACACACACACACACACACACACCCCCTTGATCGCCATCTATTGTTTTTACTAATTATACCAACTGTGAAACAATCGTACCTTCATTGATTCATTGATAAATTCATACGCTCCAAAGGAGGCAGGGCCGAAATTATGGAAGAAATTATAATGCTGCTATTCCTTATTAGCTGTGGGAATGGGGAGGCACCTATCAGGAAGGGGATGAGCGGTCTAAACATTTGAAGAATCTTGTCTGTAGGTTTTGAAACTGAAGGCATAGCCCTGTTTGTCCTGCAACAGCATGTATATAGCAACTTTTCCATCAAGACGGGAACAAACACAGAGGAAGGCCGTGAGCACTTGGTAACGAGTTCAGCGATGCCTCTTCAGTCTCATGATCCCATGGAAAGAGACCCCACCAACACAACATCCCAGCTCTTCTTCCACCCAAAAGACCATCATAAGTACATCAGCTACGCTCTCTCTGTACACTTAACCATGGCAGAGAACTCCATGGCACAGCCTGCCCTACAGCTGCTCTGTCGAGCCTTTGAACTGCACCAGAGGCTGTACCGTAGTGTGCATCCGCACATTCACACCCTTCTTCCAGGGCTGCTTTCCTATGGCCTTACTACTGGCAAAAGCTAAGTGTGGGCAGGGCTGGGCTCCTCCTTCCCTTCACAGGCATCCATGTTCCCCGAATACTCCAGCCATCCTAAGCTCCCAGTTCCGTTTCCCTGTCCCTGTCCAGGACTAGCCTCTCACAGCTCCCCATCTCTAGACAGTGCCACACAGGCCACTTTCAGTCCCCCATTTTCTCTGCTCTACTGCCCATTCCTGGTGCTTAGAGCACCTTTTTATTATTATTATTTTTTTTGACCTTTTCACCCTTGTCTGAAGCATCACTTCCTCAGGAATATTCTCGAAGCTCTGAGACAGGAGCATGCCTCCCGGACACTCATCAGAAACCTGGCACCGTCTCTTTGAGCTTGTACCCAGAGTAGCAATTATAAAACAGTCTGATTGTTTTGACTCACGCCTGCCTGACCATTGGGCTGTAGGCGTAGTGGGGTCAGGGGTCGTACTGGTTTCTGCATAGGGACTGGTATGGGTGGAGCCTCTCTACAGGATTTGGCCAGTGGTTGTCGGGGTGCTCTGTTGCAGCAGCAGAGTCCTGAGTGGGCTTCAAGCCAGCCTGTGTGGGCTCAAATACCGGCTCCATGCCTTATTTACTGTCGGACTTGGTTACAGCGTGCGCTTCTGAAAATCTGTCTCCAACACAAGCACTCCAGAAGTGGGACTTGTGAGAAGTGGCTGGATCCTAAGGGCTCTCTTCCTTCGGTGGATTTCCTCGTGGTTAAATGGAACGATCCCAAACGGATGGGAGGCAGTGGGGCTCGTTAGGCCCGAAGTCACTGGAGGGCATGTCCTGAGAAGATAGACACTCGGTCCCTTCCTGCCTCCCTGTGTGCTTTCTGTCTGTGAGGAGGTGAACTGGGTGGCCCTGCCTACGTTTCCTACCTGTTCCCGTTATTGCAACCCAGCACCCTGACAATGCTCAGCCTCATCCGAGTATGTGGCCAGCAGACTGGGGGCCGAACCAAACCAAATTTTTTCTCCTTTAGCTGTTCATGTCAGGGTTGTCCCAGACACCAAGCTGACCACCGAGCACCTGCCGCTTTGCGGCTTAGCTTATATGGTGCCACAGGGTGTGTGTGTGTGTGTGTGTGTGTGTGTGTGTGTGTGTGTCTTCACCACCAGGCTGTGAGTCTGTGGCCTGTGCTTAGTGCCTACTACCTTACCCAGAGGAGACAACGGGAGACGGACATACCTTGTCCTGATCCAGCTTACACAGAAAGACTGGGGATCTGGGGACCTCCAAGCCCTCGGCGCCAAGCCGGCTGACCTCTCGGATAACCTGTGGAGAGAACAGAGGGCTGGGAATAGGTGCCCACCCGGGAAGAGCTCTGGGGACAGAAGCATGGCTGGTATTTGTGGGATCAAGACGGTTGCGAAGATGGAGTAGGGCCACCAGGAGGCAGAGTGGGGCTGAAATGGCCAATCTGCACAAACGCGGACTTGTCAGAGCCTGTCCGAAAGGGCTGGCTACACACATCCACACTATAAGAACGCTGTTCTCTGCTGTCTGAGGAGAGTGAGGTCACAGATAAGGGAGATGTGACTCTTGAAGAGTCACAGTGGCGAGGGAGCCCGTGGACGTGACAGCTAGGCCTTTTATCACAGCTGGCAGGTGGTGAGCGTCATCACCTTGATGTCAGGGACATCCTTTCATTGACTCAGGCACAAGCATGCAGGTGATAACATTGAAAAAGTCACCATCTAAGCCAGGCGGCGGCGGTGGTGGCGGCACACGCCTTTAATCCCAGCACTCAGGCGGAGGCAGGTGGATCTCTGTGAGTTTGAGGCCAGCCTGGTCTACAGAGTGAGTTCTAGGACAGCCTGGGCTACAGAGTGAGTTCCAGGACAGCCAGGGCTAAGGCACCATCTGATGCTCACCCAGACAGCAGCATTCATCCCCACAGCAGTCTGTGATCCTCAAGTTTCAGGTGAGGAGGATGTGATTCCGGGAGGAAAAGGCTCTGGTAGGAGGCAGCAGAGCCAGACCCCCCAAATAGGCGCATGGCTGCCTGCTAGATAAGCCTTGGACTAGGCTACAGAGGACCGGAATGGCCAGGCAGATCCCTTTGAACTCTGGGCCCAAGACTCCTACTTCCGACTCAAACGAAGCTTGAGGCTCCTGAAGGCAAGTTCGCTCCCTTCCTTCCCTTCTGGACCCACAGGTAGGGATGGGAATACCAAACATCCCGGGGAGATCTGGTTATCACCGAAAGGAAGGGGGACGGGAGCTTGGTTTCATTGTTCCGACAGGAAGGGAAGAGAGGAGAGCGGGGTGTCCAGTGGGGTAGCGGGGTGGAGGGTCTGCTGGAGAGGGCTGGGGGCGGGGCAGTGCCTTGATTACCACCAACAGAAGCTAACCAACACTGCTGTTCACTTGCTTGTCTAGCAGGCACTGGGCCAACTCTTGTCAAATCCTTCAAAGAATCATTTAAGAGACGGGGAAACTGAGGCACAGGAAAGCAATGTCATTTGTAGAAAGATCTCACAGCTAGGGAATGTTGTTCGTTTCTGGAACTTGGACTCAAACCCATGGACCACCAAAGTCTTCCCTTATCATTACTATGCCACCAAGCCTACTGTGGAGTAGATCTACTTAGCCTCACATCTTGATCCCCATCACTTGATGCTGTCTGCGACACTTGGCAATCACATTAAGTTCTCTGTGCCTCAGTTTACCCACCTCTGAATGTAAGTCATAACAGCCCTAATGGTCATATACACGAGGCTTTGGCCCACTTCATGGTACAATGTAATTAATACACGGTAGCTTCATGGATCTGTGACATCGTAAAGATGCTGGACTCCAGTGGCTATTACCACAATGCACATTCTCATCTCAAAACAAGAAAGGGATTTCCTCCTCCCCTATTTTTAAATTAGAAGGGCTGGCTGGCCTAATAATAAAACCAGCTTTCAAAGGCATCGATACACACCATTCCAGGAGTGTAAGGTGGGCAAACAGTAGGCTGCTGAATAGGAAAGTTCAATAACGGGAGGATTATAGACCTCCTGGATGAGGTATGTTTGTTGTGAATATCCAAGGCCCATTCGATGTGAGTCTTAGTCATGCACAGGGACCCCCTGGATCCCTTCTCCCCTAGATAAGGCTTGGTACTTCCAAAGTTAGAACCCCAGCTTGGGGAAAGAGAGGGAGGGAAGGAGGGAGGGAGGGCAGGATGGCGGCCTCCGGTGTGTCCTGGGCATGCGTACCTTCAGCCACTCCTCAGCCTGCTCCCTGCTCTGCAGAGCCAGCACCAACACCTCCGTGGCCCCCTGGGAGAAGCGCAGCTCATGCCGCTTGTGGCGGCCGTCCTTGGGCACGTAGACGACGGTGCAGGCATCTAGCGCCAGCCTCAGGTGTGGCTGCCGGTCCTTGGAGCTTTTGTAACACTGCATGAGGAGAGGGGGTGTGGGGTGGGGGTCAGAACCTCCCGCAGTAGAGGGTGGGAGAGGGAAGACACCCTCGCACACAGTCGATTCCCCACTCGGCCCAAGTGTGAGCAATAATACCTCACAGTGAGAAGCCGGAGCGGGGGGTCTCTGGGAATCTTCCAACACAGCTGTCCATGAGGAAAAGGCAGATTATAGCACAATACTAGGAAGGCCATGTGGGTTGAAGAAGCCAGAGAACAAATAGGTTGGCTTGGGAGGATGCCAGCTGAAAGGCTACATGGCAGAACATCAGGAGTGAATCCTGGCAGGTATGCACTGCTGGCCTTGGGAAGGCGGGCTTTCTCATAGGGAGGCCAGCTTCAGCCTCCACATCAGAGATTGACAATAACGCTACAAAAGGGGATGTGGAAGTAGACAATGGTTTCTGGGGGAGGGAGAGACATTTCCTTCAGCAGGGTATACACTGGTAAAGCATCTACACTCCTGTAAATAACCCCTAACCTACGCTGCTGTTAACAATCCTAAGCACGCACATTGGTTTACACCCACACAAAGCAAGTGGAGGGGAGCAATTTGAATGTTAAGCCACCCTTGTGTGACCAGAATAAACCGGTAGCGGTCCTGCGTTTTTTTATAAGCATCTAGATTCTGTTTGCTGGTGTTCCATTTAGAGCTTTCAACTATGTCATAAAAGAAGTCAGACTATGATTTTTTTCTTTTTTAAACTTGTTTTCATTTATTTATTTATGGGAGCGGGGGCACATGTATGCCATAGCAAATATGTGGCAGCCAGAGACGACTTGCTAGAGGTGGCTCTCAACTTCTACCATGTGGGTTCCGGGTACTGAGCTCAGGTCACCGGGCTTGGTAACAAGTGCCCCTTACCCACTGAGCTGTGTTACCCTTCTCTGAAGCTTTCCGCGTCCTAATCACAGGTTTCGCTATGATTGACGCTTCCAGACATGTATAGCTTTTGATCACTGTCACCCTCTCATCCCACTCCAGCTAATCCCCTTCCACTGCCCGGCTCTACTGGAGAATTATGAAAGCGTTCCCTTTGGAGCTGGGCTGAGACTGCTGCCTTCCCTGCTCACTCTGTCTCCTCGGGGCTGGGGGGCCTGGCAGTCAAAC